TGAGCTCCTTGGGTGTGTTACCTCTTCATCTCCCCAGAAGACACTGGTAATTGTGGTCAGCCTCTATGATTTTCTAAATAACCCAGGCCAAAAACACGATTTCTGCTACGAGCCTATTGCTTCTGGCGTGGTTAGGCTGGATGAGTCCAGTCATCGCCTCCTTCCTAATGCTGCCTTGGGTTAGGTGCGGTTCGGACCACTGCTCTTCGCGATGCTTGTGTTGTGTGCCCTGCATTAGGCACACAGAGCCTGCTACAGCAGCGTGGGCGGCTCTGGCTCTCCCTGTCCTCACTGCTTTACAGGGCAGCCTGCCTGTCCCGGTCCCCCGGCAGGGCTGGCACCACGGGGGTCTGCAGACGGGTTTCTTGAAGTCAGCCAAGATCACCAAAAATACACCAGGGCTGAACTCTGCTTTTCCCATCTAGTTGTCCTGTGCAGCCTGCTCTGGGTGACCCTGCTTTGGCAGGGGGGTTGGACTGGCTGACCCACAGAGGTCCCTTCCAACCCCGACCATCTGTGATTCTGTCACCGCCCTCCCCGCCCAGCAGCAGGCCGGAGGGCAGTGGGGTGATGCTCCAGAGCACTGGTATCTGCGGGGGGCTGACAGGCACCGCAGACGGATGCTGGATGACGGTGCCAACCAGTTTGGGGGCTGTGAGGACACAAGTGAACTCACGTGGAGAGTTTGTGTTCACAGACTGCTGGGAAGCACCTCTCCTCTGACATACTGGGAGTCTGTTTTCCATGTTGGGGAAGAAGGAGAGTTCTCCCACCCCGCTGCCTGGTCCAGATGGGATGGCTGGGACACAACCACCCCCTCCCCTCACCTAGGCTGGATCCTCTCTTCCACTCCTAACAGATTTTATAGCTATTCTTGTGCAGACCAGGTCCTGAGAGAGCCTCTGGGAGCATGCAAGTGTGAAGGCTGCAGAAAGGCAAGGCGTTTCTCTCCTTCCCTGCCTTTGACCACATGTTCCCTCATGGTGATGAAGTTTGCTGATAGTGCTTGGTGATTCAGAGTAGCAAAGATGAAAGTCCAGTGCAGAGAGCTGGTAAAGGTTCTGCTAATAGTGAGTGACTGGGCAATAAGATGATCAATGAGTGGTAAATATGAAATTATATGTGTAGGATTGATCTTTCTTGACTTCATACACAGGGCTAGGTTCTAAACTAGCGACAGCCAGTCAGGAAAGATCTTAGCATTATAATGAATGTTCCTATGAAAAATCTCAGCTCGCTGTTCAGGAGGAGCCAGACAAGCAAAGGGAAGGTAAGAAATCGTTAGGAGAGGAATAGAAAGCAGAATCAAAAACAGTGAATGCCTTACAGCATCAGTACACAACTCAGCTGCATCCTGTGCACTGCCTGCGCTAGCGAATTGTCCAAAGCTCTGGTCAGTTCATCAGAAAAACTATAGCGTCAAGCTAGAGAAACTGTAGAGAAAGAGGAAACAACTGAGGCAGAGTAACGTTTCTCAAAAGAAGCCACAAAATAGACTGGGGCTTCTCAGTCAGGAGGGAGAAGGCTGGGTAACAGAGGTTCATAAAATAAGCCAAAGGGGAAGGTGACTATGGAATTATTTTCCCCAGGTGTAATGGAAGATACTTGTTGATGTCTGCAAATTTAGGTGGCAGGGGCCAGGTTCAAACCTGAGCAAACAGAAGTATCTCTGCATGCAACGTGTAGCTCAAACGGTAAATCTCTTTCTGACAGTGTGGGAAGTACACGAACACTTCTGTATGGCCAAAAAACCCGTTGACTCTTATGAACTGTTAAGACTGGACCAGAGAACACGGCAGAGGCCATCGCTCTCCACCACTGTCTCTGCCTGGTTCACTTCCAACTTGGACACTGTGTGCTGTCCTTGTCCTACCATCTGCCTGGCTGAGAGACGATGGGGTGAAAATTAAAAAGGTTCAGAGAAGGGCCACCAGGATGATCAAAGTTGCGGGTCAGCCTTTGTTTGAGGCCCCACTAACCACAGCTCTTCAGAAAGTATCTGAGAAGGGATGCAGTTGTTCACTCTTCTTCTGTTGCAAGCAACAAGTCATCAAAGGAGACTGACAAGTTGCAGGTTCGGAGCGAATTAAAGGATGTAGAAGCAAATCTTCTACAGTGAGTGGTTGAGCTGTTGGGACTCCCCTCCACAAGATGTTGTGGATATGTGACGTTGTTGAGGGTTTGAGGGATGGCCAGACAAGTTCCTGGAAGAGAAATCCATGAAGGGTCTGTGAGCACATAAAAATTATTTCTGGCTTAGGAGGTTGCAAGAGGAACAGAGAGTTAAGGGCTGGAAAATCGGCCAAGCATGCAGTACCATGCATGCTTGCCTTGTGCCTCTGTTCTGCTGAAGGCATCTACTGAGGACAACGTTGGAGACAAGATATGAAACTATCTGTCAGGTCTTTTGGCCTGCCTAGGACACCTCTTATGCTGCAGGATATGATAGGTGCTGAGACATGTGGCTTTAAAGAGCAGATAGACAAAAGACCTGGAGGAAAAATAATCCACCCTATAATAAAAAGATGCTGTTTCTGAGCCAGGAGGTCTTTGACCCACAGCTCACTCGGTGCGGGAGAGTGAACTGGGAAGGACCACGGCCAGTGTGCCAGCATCCCCTCTGCCCTAGGCACTGCTGTCAGCCACGGGTCCCGGCAGTGCTGTCTGCCCCGGGAACCTGTGGTCTGACCAAGCCTGGGGGTTACCCAGCTGCGTGTGTACCCGCTCTCACTGGCCATAACTGGGAATTTGAGCATGGGCCAGACTAACACTGCCAAAAAGAGACAAAGTCCCATTTGCAGCCAGAGGGATTGAGAACAAGTGAGAATTGCCAGGGAAAGTCAAGCCAAAGGCCCATCTAGCCCTGTCTGCTCTCTGGAACTGGGTACTCGGGGAGGAAATTTGAGAAATCAAGTGATTGTATATGGTCCTCATGATGTTCCTTCACAGCTTTTAGAAAGTAGTGGCCAAAGGAGTTCTCTGCCACAGGTTATTTTTTTGACATGTTGAATACCTAGCTGTGGGTGTACCCACCATATACCTGCAATCACTTTTTAATTCATAGATAACATTTTACTTCAGCGATATCTTGTGCCAG